CAAACTTGCACTGTGCAGCCTCAGGCTGTTCACACAGCGCTTCACTCAGCAATTCCTCCTTCCGCTTCTCTCTCGTAATCTGTGGGTGCTCGCGACAGCACAAGGACAAGCAAAGGTCAACACATCGACAGTATTAACTATGCACCTCGCAAAAGCCAAATAGAGGAGCCGCCTGGTCAACAGGTCTTTTCGTGCCTGGGAAAACACCAGTGCGAGGGTGCTTCGCCTTGTTCACGTACTGGAGGCGCTGTTGTGTGGTATTGCTTGCAGAGTGGCCAACGCACTCGCTTCATGGCACCAGTGGCCCAGAGAGCGCCACAACGCATGCCGAAGACCATCGGGCTTGCACGAGAAGTCCGTTGCCAAGAACCCCCTCTGGGTGGGGCAGGAGCGCCGCGCCCCGGCGAAGAGGCATCCACCACGAGGACCGGATGAGCTCGGGCTGCGGAGACCTCCTAAAGCCCATGAGGCGGAGAGGGTGGGGTGGGGAACAGGCGAGACGAGGGGGGAACAGAGCAGCGGGCTCTCCCTCCGCTGGCTTCGGAGAGACATTCCATATCCGTGCCAAAGTTGGCCCCAGATACCAAGCTGCAGTAGTGACTTGCATCTTCAAGCGCCTCAATCGCTCGAGGACTGGCAGATCACCCTCGTGGAGGCCGCTCCAGCACACGCCAGCTCATCATCACACCCATTGTCCACACGAGGCGCCTGCCATCGCACGGCTGTGGGGGCTTCCCCTTAATCATGTTGACTTGGGCCTTCCCGAAGTCCTCGGCCGCACGGTGCACTTCCCGCCAGACGGCGAGGTGGATCGCCCAACTGCTCGTGGTGAGGCAGGCGGGAGGTCCCAAGAATCGACCTCCCAGAGATTTCCCGCGCTCACAAACACGGCATTTTGACCCCCAGCAGATAGCACCCATTTCCAATTACACCTCCACCGAGTGACTTCCAATCTCCACCAGTCCCGCACCCTGACCCCTCACATCCAGCCTCCGACATCAACGTTCACACCATCACCCCCACCTAGCGACTTTCAGCCTCCACCAGGCCAGCACCACGACCTGCAACACCCAGCATCAAACATTTCACAGCCACTTCCGCCTATCGACCTCCAACGCCCACCAACGCAGCATCCCGACCTCCAGCACTTGAGACGCGTCTTCTACACGAACGGCTGGCATGCAGATGGGCATCCTGCAGCCTGGTGCAACAAAAAAGCATTCCGACCTCCAGCATCAATTCTCCTGGCTTCACGTGGGCGGGCTCCCGCACTATGGACCACCCCCCCCTCCACTCCAGCGTCAGCCCCAGCACCGACGCCAACGGCATCCGGTGTCCCGCCGGCGCCAGCACCAGCGCCGGCACCACCACTGGGGCCTTCGCCGGCACGTCCACCAGCACCAGCGCGTCAGCCCCGACGGCGGCACCTACGCCAGCGCGCCGTCACCGACACCAGCGCTTCCACCAGCACCGGCGCCAGCACCGACTCCAGCGCCTACTCTCACAACATGGCCACCTGCGACTACGCCGGCATCAACACTGGCGCCTCCACCAGTGCCGACTGCAGCCCGTACGCCAGGAACAGCAGCCGACGCCTACGATAGCATCGACGCCAGTGCCGTCACCAGCACCACGGCGCACCGGTTAGCGAGTAGAGCAGCATGCGGCAGTACCAGTGAAGGGAGCACCACCACCGCAGCGAATTCCGTGACATGTTCGTTGCGACTTGCATTGCGGTGCGACTTATTTTCTACGAGCTGGTCTCGAAAAGCTCCGTGCCCGCCTGGGGCGGAACTTCGGTCGGTTGCTCAAATTGCCAGGAACCATTGGGACCAGCAGCACGACGGCCACCAACAGTACGACGATGAGAAGTACGACGATGAGAAGCTCTACCACCGACGCCAGCACCAGCGCCTGCTCCAGCACAATCGCGGGCTCCATGAGCTTAATGACGAGTGCCCCATGCAGCACGACAGGGTCCGCGAGCAGCGCGGCGAAGACCACGAGCAGCACTGGATTGGATAAGAAAGCCCACTGCAGGCGCCTACAAAAATGAATTGATGGATTGGGTTTGGTGGATAGGATTGGATGGGATAAGATGGATTGGATACTATGAGATGGGTTGATTGGAAGAAATGGATTGGATAAGATAAGATGGACTGGATTGGCCCGCCGCAGACGCAGAAACAAATGAATTGATGGATTGTATTGGGTGGATTGGATTGGGTGGGATAAGATAAGATGGGACAAGATGGGTTGGATAAGATAAGATGGATTGGATTGGGTTTGACAATATGGATTGGAGAATATAAGCTGGATTGGGTAAGAAAGCCCGCCGCAGGCGCCGTGAAAAATAACACTATATATAATTAGCGACTTGCGTTAGCGCCGGGACGCCCCGGACACCCGGGACACCAGGGACACCGCCTGGCCCAATTGGAACACCTCCCGGCCACCAGCGGACGGGAAACGGACTTTCGCTCCTACTGACACCCGGGACACCCAGGACACCGCCCGGCCCAAGTGGGACACCTCCCAGCCACTGACGGAAGGGAACGGACTTTCGCTCCTACTTCGGCCTAGCTACAGGAGGATCACGCGCAGCTTCGCCTCGCCCGCACGCACGACACGAACACGCAACCGAAACCGATTTCCAGATGGGGGGTCTCCGTTTCACTGCGATCTCACCCCCCAACCTCCGATCTGTCACTGGCACTCTCTCTCCTCTCTCTCTCTCTCTCTCTTTCTTTCACCCTCACTCTATCTCTCTCGCTCTCTCTCTCTCTCTCTCTCTCTCTCTCCCTCGCTCTCGCTCTCTCTCTCTCTCTCTCGCTGTCTCTCTCTCTCTCTCTGTACCTCCCTCTCTCTCTGTCTCTCTCTCTCTCTGTCTCTCTCAACGCGTGACACGGTTCGCCCTAATTTGGTGTTTTGGGCTTGGTCCTTGTACTGGCAAACGGCAGAAATTATTGCTCTAGGTTGGTGGTTGTTTGCGAACAGATGGCGCGCACAGGTGGTTCGACTTCATTTGTTGATTTTGAATTCGCTGGGAAGTTGCCAGGCACTTGGTAGAAATCGCAGTTCTGTCTCGGTCGTTGTTTGCAAACAGATGGCGTGCAAAGGTGGCCCGACCAACTTTGGTGATTTGTTGGTCTGCTCGGAATCATACCAGCAACCGGCAGAAGTCACAGTTCCAGGTCGGGCGATGTCTGCCAAGAGATGGCGTGCACACGGTGTCCGATTTCATTCGGTGATTTGGGGTTCGTTCGGAGCCTATCGAGCAATCGGCAGACATCTGTGTGCTTGGCGTCACTTGCCACGTCGGGCAACGGGCCTCCTCTTCCTCGTACTGCTTCTCCGCCTTCTCCTCGTCCTCCTCCTCCTCCTCCTCCACTTCCTTCTGCGTCATCCGCCGTGCCGGGCACGGGCCTCCTCTTCCTGCATTCTTCCTCATCCTCCTCCTCCTTCTCCTCATTATTATTTTCCTCTTCCTCCTTCTGCCGTGCTTTCCAAATGCCGGAGGGGGGGGTCCAGGGTTGGGGCTTTTCTTTCCAGGGTTGAGTCACGGGTACCCTTTCCAGGGCTAGGCTCTCCTTCCAAGGTTGGGACGTTTCCTTTTCTTTTTCGGCCTTCCGGTGCTCCGCCAAATTTTCCAAGGTTGGGACGCCGACCACAGGCGGGCACCAGGCGAAATTTCGGCATAACCCAGCCCAACGCGAGACGCCCACGAGGTGCCCGCGGGCGGGAACCAAACAGCATTTCGGCGCACGTACCCGTCAACGCGGGGGGTTCACGCGCGGACAGCCGGCGAACCTTGGGCCCATCCCAGCGCCGGGCGCCCACGAGGCGCCCACGGGCGGGCACAGAGTGAAACTTCGGTATAGCCCCGTCGCCCCTTGACACGGGGCGCTCGAGAGCGTTCACGGGGCGCCCGTGGGCGGGCACCGGCCGAAAACTTGGAATACCTAACTAGGTCGGTAATTGGCAAGTGGGCACCTCTAAGCTCTGAGGGCGAGCACGGTTCGTTGAGCATGCAAGTGCACGCCCCCCGAATGAGAATGAAAACGGGGAAATGAGAATGCTGCAAACTGTTTTATCAACCGAAAGGAGCCCAGCGCTTGTATATATACGTAGGAGGAGGAGGAGGAGGAGGAGGAGGAGGAGGAGGAGGAGGAGGAGGAGGAGGGGGAGGACCAGAAGTTTCGACATGGTTTACTTTTTCTCCACTCGGTTGCCAACGGCGACGCGTTCTTCGGATGCATGGCCCTTGTTTGCTTGCTTGCAAGCCCCAGGCGGCCATGGAGCGAGAGAGAGAGAGAGAGCACACATAAAAGCAAACATAACCATGACGAAGGGACGACACGACAAGGTCGGCATGACCTGAGAAACTACTCTAAGTCGAGCCTGCTGTGCACCACCCGAGAGTCGACCTTCGTTCGGCGGATGGATCAAGTCCGAGCCCCGCGGACGTTCGGCACTTACGTGCGGCTGATCACGGAGATCCGCCCGTGTGGGCAAGCGCAGTTGCCAGGAGGAGCAGCAACAGTTGTTAGAAAGAGCAGCTACAGCATTGGATGAGCAGAGGCATGAGCAGGGGGGAGGATGAGGGTGCGGAGGGCAATGATGCAAGACTGATACCCGAGGAGAGAGAAGGAACGATGATCTGAGGGTGCACCAAGGGGACGATGAGGGGTGACGGGAGATGAGGGCGGGATGGCGACGGCGGAGGATCGGGAGAGGATGATGAGGGATGAGGAGGAGGAGGGAGGGGATGCGGAAGAGGAGGAGGAGGAGGAGGAGGAGGAGGAGGAGGAGGAGGAGCAGGAGGGGGAGGAGGAGGAGGAGGGAGGAGGAGAGGCCGTGGACAGGAGGAAGGATGGACGAGGAGGGAGGGCGAAGAGGAGTGAATGTCGGAGGAGGAGGGGTCCGACGGCTCGCGCGGCTTCCTCCTCAAAAATCGGAGGGGCCTCGACGGAGGGGGGGCCGCGGAGGACGCCCCGACCATGAAACAGAAGGCCACCGTGAGCGTCTCCCGCCGCAAGTCCCGCAAGGCCTGCCAGGGTTCGGGCCAGGGTTCTGTCCACCCCCGATGAAAGAGGAGCTGAGAGTGGCTCATCCCCGATCCCCAATCCGTGCCGTGGGCAATCCACGCTTCGGCCTATTGGGCTTAAAGGCGGCGCTGAGTCAGAATGGCCACCACACGATGGCAAGTCTACGCCGCGGGCCACGCTGTGGTTATCGACCTTCGAGACAGCACGGGCAACGAGGGGCGTTCATGACCAGGTTGGGCACCGGGGGTCCGCGCCATGATCATCTGGGTTGAGAGACGTCATTGTCGTGTGGCTTGTGCGGCCTCGGCGCGGTGACACACCCGTGCTGCACTTCTGCGACGCGACAAGAAGACGCCTGGCGAGGAGCAGCGGCAGCAGAAGGGGCACGCATCAGCTGATTCCCGGCCATGCTTTCGGGACCATCGCGCGGTGCATTCCCTGGGAAGGCGCCACGGTAGGTTCCCGCGGCGTTGGCGCGCCGGCGACGCTGGCGAAGGCGTTCAAGGTTGCTTACTGCGACGCGGAAGCACCGAGGGACACGGTGACGCCACTGGACCCCACGGAATTCAACTTTGAACGATCAGGGCCGCGATCGGTTGAAGGTTGAGCGATCGACGCGGCGACAAAAACCTTTGTGCGCGCCGACGCCGCACGAACCTACCGTATCCGACCGCTCGGGTGCCACGGATCCGCTTGCCGCTGCTTGATCAAAAGGGATTCGTTGCTCGGGTCTTCAGAAGCTGTGCAGCTGGCTTTGGCGGCGTTGTTCGTGCGACGAACGCCAGCACGGGCCAGGCCCGTGCAAGGCAGGAGGGTGGCGACCCTAGCGCGGGCGTTCAATGTTGAACGCCGCCGACATCGGACAGTCGCACTATGGGGAAGGTTGCAATCTTTCAAGGTTGAACGGTCCTCGCGGTGTCAGAAGCCAAGGCCGGCGTCGTCGCGACACAATCTTGATGGATACACCGATTTTGGGCCTTGGATTGGCATGGCGGTGCACATGTACAGCTCAAGTCCTCCCAGGCGGTGCGCCATGATTGGTGGTTTTCAGCTGCCCTCTGCTCTCCTTCAGCATCCCAGTGTCGTCTCCTGCTGAGCGTGTTGCTCGGCTCGCGTGGTCACGCTGGGCCTCTGCACATCTCCAAGGTCGACGTCGAGGTGTGCTGCTGTTGCGTGTCAGCATGGTGTGGGCGCCAGCCGAAATTTCGGTCCATGTCATTCGAGCTGGTATGCTGCGGTCGGCGTTTCGGGGGGGAGCGCACAGGTTTCGGCCAGACTTGGGGCCCCAGAGGGTCCCCAAGACCTCGTGTTCCTCGTGCTCGCCTTTACGAGCAACGCCGACGTCGAGGATTGATGCCCGCGCGCATGTGTTGCATTGTCGAATGGCCGTAGAGCCAGTGCAGGAGGCGCACAGATAGTTGGCTCGCTTCGACTTCGTCTCGGAACCCTGCCCTTCTCTGAGCCATGCTTCTTTAGCTCCCTCCTGTCGTCCTCATCCACCCAGCTTCTCCTCCCAGCTTCCTTTGCGCACCCTCTCCTGCCATCCGCGTTGTCCTCATCTGCCGTACTCTGCTCGCCCCTCTCCGAGGCAGGGAATTATGCATAACCACCGCCTGGGGGATCGATCTTCGGGGACCTCGGCAGGCGGTGAATGTGGTTATATTCGGTCCCTGCGGGGGGCGAATATAACAATTTCCACCGCCTGCCGAGGTCCCCCGAAGATCGATCCCCCAGGCGGTGGTTATGCATAATTCCCAGCCTCAGCAGTCTGTGACGCCTCAGGCGTACTTCACTGCGCCGTCGCACATCCGCCGGAAGCTGATGAGTGCGCCCCTCAGCAAGGAGCCCCTGCTCAGCTTCCGTTAAGATCAGAACTGACTCTGGCGGACCCTTCCCACAGTTGCCGTCCAGTCAACGCGCTGTAATTAGGACCGCCTTGAGCGCAGGAGCGGCTCTGGTTTTCAGGCCGTTCCGCAGATCCAGTTCGGGGAACCCATTCGTGTCCCAGGCCCCCCGTGGCCAGAAATACCCACTCGTTCCCTATGCAGCTTCCTTTTGGTAGCACTGGCCAGGCCCATCCCGGGCCTAGGCTCGGTCTGTATACCTCCCAGGCCAAGTCAAGAGGGGGCGTACGGTAGGTTCGTGTCGCATCGGTGCGGCGGTGACTTTGGCGCGGGCGTTCAATGTTGAACGCCGCCGTTGACCTGAATCGGCCGACATCGGACGATCCACGCTATCGGACAACCGCGCTAGTGTGGGAAGGCCGCGATCGTTGAAGGTTGAACGATCCACACGGTGCCAGATTCCAATGCTGGCGTCGTCACGACACGAATTTGCTGGATATACCGATCCTTGGGCCTGGACTGGCATGGCAGTGCACATGTACAGCTCACGTCCTGCCAGGCTGCGCGCCATGACTTGTGGTTTTCAGTCCTCCTCTTCCCTGCTCAGAAAATTCCATTCGTTTCCTATTCAGCGCTCCCGAATGTAGCACTATGGCTGTCCTCCCGCAGCTGCCTGGCGAAATCATCGCTTAACGGAGCAACGCACCAATTCGGACGATGCTCCCAAAGAAGGTTCGCCCGTTGTTCGTCCGCCGCACTGCGGTTGGGGGTAAGCCATCCAGGTTCATCCCGTGGTTTGTCGCGGCCACCACTCGACTTTGCGGCGCACCGCTCGTCGTTCATCGAAGTCCACCAGTCCTGGCGAGTTCGTTCCGTCATATGTTGCCCCCCAGTGCAATAGGATTGCAATCGCATCTTAGTAGGGCTTCGACGTGATCCCATTGGAATTCCAGTCGGATGCCCGGGGGGATCGGGTCAGGGGGGGATGAGTTTCTCCTTTCAGGCCCCTCTTGGGGCCCTGGTGTGCCGTCTCGGGCGCTTCTTGGGCCCCTCTTGAGCTGTGAACGAGGTGCAGATGTCGGCGGGCCTTGGCAGAGGCCCGAGCCTGGGCCACCGAAAATATGGGCCTCTCGGGACAATCGGTAGGGAATCGAGCACCAGCACGAGCAACAGCAACATAAACTTGCACTCTCGGAGCTCCTCGCGGATTTCTCTGTTCGGCGCTGGGCCCCCTGGCGGCGCCAGAGGCACCGCCCCTTGCACGAATCGCGCACCAGGGAGGGGAGCCCAGCGCGGGCCTCCGAAAGTGTATGTTGTGTGTTGTTTGCTTCTTCCCCTATCTGGTAAGGGCGAGGATGGGGGTCGGATGAGCCACTCGGGTTGCTCTTTGCATCTTTGCCCTTCGGCCCATTCGTGGCCGCTTTTGCTGGCCGCGCCCCGCTCGCAAAGTGTGCCCTTGCGTCCCTACCGCGCATCCGTATTATGCGGATGTCTCCAGACAGTCGACAGGGAAGGGCGAGGATGCGAGTCAGAGTGGGAAGATATACCAATGCCGCCGCCCCCCCTCCCCCTTTCCCCCCCCTGCCCTGCTGGACCTCCCTGGGGCGCCCTCGCTGCCCCGGCTGGATCCTCCTCGGGATCTCCCGGCCGCAGCGCGTCCTGCGAGAGGTCCTTGGGAGCAGCACAGCATCGGACTTTGGGGCTGTTGCCACAGCAGGGGGTCCTCAAGTCGCCTGCAGGGTATGCTCGCAGTGCCCGCGCCCTGTGGTGGCGCGCGCGGGAGGCGAGGGCCCGCTTCCCCTCCGCGCGGCGCTCGTTGAGCTTGCGCTTGCTACTGTATCCAAGGAGAGTGTTTTTGTTTCAACCTCTCGGCCATGACGCGCGTTTGGTCCCACCCACCCACCCACCCACCCACCCCCCACCCCATCCTCCCCCCCATAACGTAACGCTCCCCCCCATCAGTGCGTCCCCGGCACTGCCGCAGTGCGTCTGGCACCACATCCTGGCGGGGGGGGGGCGGGGCGCTGCTTTATGCCCCCTCCCGTCCCCCCAAACGCCCGTTATGGCCACACATAAAGACATGCGCTCACGTTGAGGGGGTTTGCAGGAGTCAGGGACAGCGCCAGGGGAGGAAAGGCCAGTCATCGCCCACTGCCCGCCCCGTCGGCTCTGGAGTGCCCGCCGCCGATGTCTATTGGCGACGTATCGCTGGTTCTGGGTTGATGCCTCTCCCCTGCCCCCCCCCACTCTGAGCCAGCCCTCCCCTTTCGTTGCCTGTCGTGGGGGTGGGTGCCGCCGCCTTAGACCGCATGGCTTCGTCCAGTTCGTCGAATTGTCGTAGGGCACCGCCCACCCGAACCCGCGGCGGGTCCACGAGGCGTGGGTGCCCTCGCCCGTGCGAGTAGGGGCCCCGCTCGTGCTGCCGCGGCTGCCGTCGACCTCGTGCTGCTGGGCCTTGCGGGTCCACAGGAAGTTTGCGGCGGCAATTGCCCAGGGCCCTGACCCCTGGCTGTGGCAGCCGTGGTCGATCTCTCGCGCTCGCGGATCCGCCGCGTGGGATTGCAAGGGAGCTTGGTGGTGGCACCTGTGTGGCCACCGGGCCTTCCCCACCCTGTGGGCCCTTTTCCCCGCGCCCCCAGAGGCAAGGGAAGCGTAGAACGGAGGGATCCGGTCGTGAAAACAAGACTTGGTGGCGTCGTTTTCTCTTCTTGACGGAGAGAGAGAGAGAGGGGGAGATATATATGTATATATATATATATACATATATATATAGAGAGAGAGAGAGAGAGAAGGAGAGACCAGCCTGCTCGAATCACAATCCCCCCGCCCACTGTTGCAGACCCTCGGTCCGATCGCTCCCTTCGCGGGCCATCCTCTCTGCTCCTTCTGCCCTCCCCGGGCGGCCGCTGGGGCCTCTCCCACCCCCTCGCCCACGCTTCAGCGGCAACTTCAACAGGGGGGACAGGCTCCCGGGGGGGTGGCGCAACGACCCCCAATGGCCCATCCACTGCCGCCACGTCCGCCCGGTAGCCCCAGCCTGCCCTCCAGGAACGCGTGGCCTCGCTGCCGGAGGGCCCACCGCCGCTCTGCCGGCGATGCCTCGCCGATTCCAGCTCGATGCTTTCCCCCCCCCTGAGCCGGCCCTCACCCTGACGTCCCTCGGCCCCCTTCCTCATCCTCCCGTTTCTCCTGCTCATCCTCCTGAGCTTCCGCCTCCCTCCCTCCTCTCCCTTCTCCTGTGTACACAGGTCCCCTTCACCGATTGCGCACATGATGCACAATCGAACTCCATCGTGTTATCAACGCGACGTGGTCCTTTTGGAGGTTACAGGTTCTCTGAGACACGCATCGGCGGATAGAGAAGCCATCGGCGCAATGAGAGGGAATGGGTCGGAATGGGCAGGATGTCAGATATGGCGTGACCTAGCTTGCCCCCCCCCTTCGCCCTCTCTTGCAGACACTCGGCCCGCTCGCTGTCTACTGTCGCCGCCGCCCCCTCTGCCTCCGCCCTCTGGTGCGTCCCCGCCCCCGCTCGTCGGGCCCCGTTCGCCAGGACCTCCGCGCCAAGTACAACGTCCGCTCGCTTCCGATCAGGCGCGACGACGAGGCGTACCCTCATTTCACGCCTCATGCGAGTCCACGTCCTTCCCTCCCAGAAACCCAGAGATCCTGGCGTCTCAGTCTTTTTTTGTTTTGAGCTGGGCGTTTTCGCCCGGTTCGGTCCCCGGTACCCTCTCAGGTCGATCCAGTTCGAAGAATGGCACAGAAAGATAAAATCCGGTGCACTGGCCATTATTTTTCACAATGTTTTGTTTCCGCCATGGCGGATTTCGCTCCCCATGCCACGCTCCCACGCGAGTCCATGCCCTTCTCTCCCTCAGTTGCCTGTTGCTCGCCCCCTTCTCGGAGGAGGAAACGATGCCCATACCGATGTTCTCCATCTCCCCGCCTCCTTTTCCGCCTTGCGGGGCTTCCTCGCAACATAGCTTGCCCTCGCACCACACAGCTCACACCGCAAAGTTTACACAAGTTTTGTTTTCACATCATATATTTTTCACTTCCAAAGAGCAATGACTTAGTTACTCTTTGGGGTCCACGCTGGCTAACACGTTCTTGCAATCTCTCGGAGGAGAAATTCTGGGCGGTGGCATGCCCGAGCGTTGCCCAGTACTGGAAGGCGCTCAGGCGTGCCACCGCCCAGGGGTCTATCCCCCTTGGTGGGATATCCATGGTGCTGCTCTGGATCTCCCATTCCCCCGCACCCCCCCCGCTGCCTCTGCCCTCGCTTCCCCAGCCCCCACCGGGTGCGGCGAGTGATTTCGAGCCTGCCAGGCTTCGCGGCGCTGCTGCCCTCGGCGCCTGCCTCCAGGCCCCCTCTCCCTTCCCCCGGTCCACCTCCGCCCTCCTTGTGAGCAGAGGCACTCCTTCCGGCTCCGCCTCCGATGCGCCACGGGAGAGGACTGGGGACGGACGTTGTATCATTGGCTGGGGGCATGTCGAGCTTGGGGCTTCGGTGCCAAGCTCGCGGTGGCTTTCCGTCGTTGGATGCAGCACGGCCCTCAGACAGAGTGGTCTCCCTCCGTCGTCAGGAGGGAGGCGCACGAATGGGGCGTTGCGGGGCCATGCCGGGGCTTCGGCTCCAAGTACGGGGTGGGTGCGCTTCGCTTCGGGTGCGCTTCCCCAATGGCTCTCCGGGTGAGCAAAACTGTAAGGTGCCCAACAGCTTCCGCCCTTGGGACATCTCGCTCCCGCCATGTGCTTCCTCCGCCTCCTCGGCCCCGGGTGCCGCGCCTCCGCCACGCTCGCGCGCGGACTCCCGCGCGCCCTCGCTTCGGCGCCCTGCTGGGTGCGGCGCAGCAGTTCGGCCGGCGTGGTCGCGGCCTGGCAACCGGGCTGGTGCCCTCTGGCACCTCCGCGGCGGGCCTGGTCCTCTCGCCGTCTTTCATGGGCGACCTCCGCAATCGCTGAGTTGGGCTGTGGGAGTCACCCCGTGCGCCCCCCTCCACGGCCGGCGCCGACCCGCCAGCGATGATGACCTGCGCGTGGCGCCCGATTTCGAATGCCGCGCGCAGGTCGTCCCCGCTTGGGGGGGTCGGGATATTGCACAGTCAAGACGCAGCCTGACTTCGGTCCGGGTCTTGCTTCGGGGATCTGGTTGGATACATTTGCTGAAAAGACCTCCGATCCCTGATGTTCTGGGCCTCTTCATTTAGGTCCGCTTCCAAGGGGCTCGGGTCTTTTCACTGCTAATCACGTGCTTCCTGCGGCTGCTCTCGCCTCTCCCGCTCACTCCCGCACGGGCCGTGACGTTCGCTCGCGGCGCGCCCCGCTTCTGGGACTGGCCCCGCGGTCGTTCCCGGGGGTCCGCCGACAGCAGGAGTGTTCCGGGTGCCGCTGGAAGTGCCCCTGGCCCAAGGTGCCCACAGGATTTTCAAGGAGGCCCCCACGGCCTCCAGAGCGCCACTCACGAGGCCCAGGGGCCCCAGGGGCTTCAAACTTCAGCGAAAAGCTGGGGGCACCTTGGGCCAGGGGTGCCTTTATCAACCCCCGAGTGTTGGCACGGCGGGGCTCTCGCCGCCGCCGCCGTCGTTTGCGCGTCGTCGCGCCTGTCCGCGGCGTGGCTGGGAGGCCTCTCCCCCCAGCGCGTGCCCCTCAAAGTAAAGCGAGTTGAGACAATGGTAGTTGAGTTTCGGGGGGGGGCCTCGTCCCCAGGGCTGGACGCAGCTCGGGAAACTTGTGCGTTTCGACCCCAAGAGAGGTCCGAGGACCGATCTTGAACTGCCGCTGTCTCAACTCGACCTGCTCAGAGCCTTGACCTTGGCTGCAACGATGGGCGCATGCGACCACCCTGCTCTGCGGGGCGGTCCGGCACCAGGGGTCTGCGCCCACTGACCGCGCCTTCCGCCCATATCTCGCGCCCGTCTCTGCGCCATCCTGGTTTCTGGTTCCTGGTGGCAGTAAAGTCTTCAGACAGAGCGACACCCAGTTCAACCCCAGAGGGCTGAGCCAGTGTTGGAAAGGTGGCACACCAACTAAGAGGGGGGGCCTCCCCTGGAGGAGAGGGAGAACGACGGAAGGGGACGACCCGAGAAGGCAAACAGCAGGGGAGGAGGAGAGAGAGGCTTGAAGGAGCGGGAGGGCAGCAGGTACGACGAGGAGAGGTAGAAGAAGAGTTGGGAGAGGTCCCGACCAATCCAGAGAACGGTCAAGCGGCCCTCCAAACTGGAAGAGGGATTGCGCCATCCACCCTCCCTCCTCTCGTCCCTGCGTGTGTGCCCTGCGTAGCCTCCCCACCTGCAGCTGCAGGTCGGATTTGGCGCTGTGCGTGCCCCCATCTCAGCTCGTCGCTGTAGTTGTGTTCGTCGCTCGGCCGCTGGAGTCACAAAAGCGTGTGCGGTGATCGGTGTGTGTGTGTGTGTGTGTGTTCGGTGTGTGCGCGTGCGTGTGTGCGTGTGGGCGTGTGTCTGTGTGTGTGGGCGCTGTCGCGCAGGCGTCCGGCCTCTCGTGGGTGTTGCCGCGCGCCCCGCCGCCGATTTGGTGCGTGTGTGTGTGTGTGTGTGTGTGTGTGTGTGTGTTTGTGTCTGTGTTTGGGTGTGTGTGTGTGTGTGTGTGTGTTTGGGTGTGTGTGTGTGCGTGTGTGTGTGTGTGTGTGTGCGTGTGTGTGTGTGTGTGTGTGTGTGTGTGTGTGAGGGATGTTGGTGGGCACGTGTGCACGTGTGTGTGTGTGTACCCGCCGCGTGAGCGCTCTCCCTTTCCCTCGCCCCGCGGCCGCTTCCTCCTTCCCCTTTTTCCCGCTCTTGCTGCCGGAAAATTTTGCGATGCCGTCTCCGGGCTTGCCCGAGCGCGCGTGCGGACTGCCTCTGCCGTACTGCGACGTAAACAGTGCACGTGTGTGTGTGTGTGTGTGTGTACCCGTCTGGTGTTGAAGGTGGGTATTTCGGGTTTCTCGGGTTCCCATCTGCTTTGGACGCCTTCCTACTTCAAGGGTCGAGCGGTTTTGCCTCTTCCCTCCTCTCCAGCGGGCGGGCGGGAGCTCAATCTACTTCAACGCCTTCCTACTTCATGGTTCTTCCCTACTCCTTCCAACTGGCGGATATGTGTGTATACGGGCACGTGCTTGTATTTTTGTGCATGCGAAAGCGATTCTGCGCGCGTGTGTGCGGATGTTCGTGCGTGCTGGTGTATTGTGATCTGTTGTGCAATGAGACGTGTTCATTGGGCACGCTGCGATTCTTTGATAAGGCGCTCGGCTCTCAATTCGCCATATGTGTGCGTCTTGTTTTGTCGACTCGGCAACGTTTTCGGTAACACATCTGGCTCGGCTGTTAATTAGCATTTCCCTGATGTTCCGTCGGCGCACAGGTCATGATCGCTCGCGGGCATTACCATGACCGCGAGGGGAAGGTCCTCGCGAGCGCGCCATGCGGGCGTCGGGCCACACATGCGCTTGGGATAGCGAGCCGATGGATCTTTCATGGCCTCATGGTGGTGCGTCTCCTTCTGCCCTAGCTGATCGCTTTCTGCGTTTCTCGCATCAAGCGCTGGGCGGCGCCGACCCCCGCGTGCACCCGCGCGCGCGCATGTCGTAATCGGATGCTGCAACGGGCGCTCTAGACGACTCCGAGTCTCTGCTACTGGTGCCATGGAGCGTTTTCCTCACGCTGATCTCAGCATCGTTTAATTGGCCGAGAACGGTACGGTCGGATCGAGGTATACGATCGAGGTCGGTCCAGGGAGGGTGCTCCAATGTTCTTCGTGCTTATTGGAGGTTCTTCTGCATCCTGGGGGATGGTACCCTCGAATGTTCTTCAGTTTGGCCGGCGGAAGGTCTCATGCTCTTGAAGGATGTTCTTCTGTCTTGGGCCCGGCCGTACAACAAAGGATGTTCCGCGATCGGGGGCGCCTGTCCCAGGGCGGCTGGGAAGGTAACTAATGCCCCCACCTTCCGCTGTAGGGGTATCAACTTCCCTGCCGCTCTGGGGCAGGCGCCCCCAGTCGCGGAAAAGTTCCTATTACGAGCACGAGCCCCAAACACTAAGTTGTGGCACTGCGGACGTGCGAGCCATGCGGCGCAGGCTGTGGGGTGAACGCTAAGCGGTGCAAGCTGTGCGGTGCAAGCTGTGCGGGGCAGGCTGTGTGGTTGAAGCTGTGTGGTGCGCGTCCTGTGATGTGAGCTGCGTGGTGACGCGGCGACGAAGCGGCAGTGGGCGGCAACGTGACGGATCTTTGGCGGGCTCCCCAAGCGGCAACGAGGCGGCAACGGGCACCAACGTGACGAATCCTCGGCGGACTCTCCAAGCGGCAACGAGGCGGCAACGGGTGGCAACGGGCGGGCGGCAACGTGGGGAATCTTGGCGGACCCATCCATTTCTCTACTATGCCGTTGTCCAAGTGTTTGGCCATTCTTCCAAATGGCCCGCGCGGACCCGCGGCCCGCGCGCCCTCGGGCAAGGCTACGCAGATGGCAAGTGTTCCTCAAGATCAGAGGTCGCTCGGCCTCGTAATAGACGGGCGGAGTAAGTTTCAGGGGACGTGGAGTATGTTACCTTCTGCTGAAAGACGAAGCAGAGTAAGTTCAATTGGAAAGCGGATTAAGTTAACCCACGTGAAAAACGTGCGGACTAAGTTCTCACACCCTACACCATGTGTAAGACGAAGGGGAAACGGGGTGGGCGGGAGCCGCAGCCTATTCCGCCGCAGGCGGATGACATGTTGTAGGATTTTTCGGGGGAGGGGGGCCTCGTCGACGGGAATGGTCCAAACTTGGATGACGGCATTGTGGTGGCACGTGTGCAGTTCCCTTAGAGTGCAAGCACGGTTTGGGGAGTCTGCAGCCGCCATTCGCCCGCTGAGTCGTAGTTGGCCCTGCAGGCTAGATGGTGGGGGTGGCTTCGCCTCCCCCATCTTGCTAGGCAGCGGCAGAGGCCGCAGCATCCGCCCGCCGCTCTCGCTCGCGCTGGCGCCGCTGCTGCGGCTGATGACGTCGTGCTCCGGGCACGCATCCCGCAGGTCGCCAGCCGAGGCGCTCCAGAGAGTGCCCTCGAGGACCGAAGGAGTTGCCATCTCTTCCCCGGCGGAAGGCGGCAGAAGTGCGGCGGGAGGCGGCGGAAGCAAGTCCAGGGCGGTTCCGCTGGCGGAAGGCGGCGGAAGCAAGGCTCGGGCTGTTTGGGTTCAGGGCTTCCTGAGCCTGCCTGATGGCACCCAACATCATGCTGTTATCACTGTTGTTAGCAGGTGGCGATCCGAGCGCCGCAGATGGCGAATATCCCGTCCGACGGCTGCAGCCTCGCCTGCCATGAATGATGCGCGTGTTGGTCAACAATTAATTCGACAAGTTGGAAGGGCGGGGTTCTGGCGAACACACTTGTGGCTACCCGTTTGATGTTCATGCGGCTGCGTGCTATTATTGTGCGGGAACATGTGTTTGTCCATCACGAGTGACACGAGTAGTAGGAGCGCCACAGTGAAGCAGACGCGGGCTCTCTTCTCATGGTGAGGTAGACAGCCAGTGCGAGGCGCTTCAGGCTGTAGTAACAAACAAGGGGAAGACGGAGATCTTCTTTCGTTATGTGTAGGAGGTCCTGGATGATCACGATATCCCTTGTTCACACGGTCATTGCCTCATTTCGATCTGCAATCTCGAGTTTGGACCGAACACGCGTCCGAATTTCCCCCCCAGGATGCGAATGGCTTCGCCCGGGATGTCGTTCTGGAAGTGTTCAGAATGCTTTTTTAGTCAGGAGCCTAGGTGTTGTCATGCTAGTCGTTGGTTTAGTGACAGACGTCCAGCCTGACTTCTCCAATCCTCCCTCTCTCATCCCCCTACTCCTTCTCCTGCTGGGAGTCACAAGGATCATCCAAGAGCTCAGGGTCGGGGTGCTTTGGGTTGCTGGTGGTGGGACTCAGCGTTGCCTTCTTGAGATTACCATGGGCGTCCTCAGGAACCCCAGCGTTTTAGGTATGTTCTCGACATTGCGGGATGCTGTCGGGTGTTTGATGCATTACTGACATTCGCGTACCTCATGTCTGCTCGGAGTGGTCTGGGTTTATAATGTTTTGAGTTCGCTGCGTCCAATTGCTTTCTCGCGTGCTTTGCATGCCCCAGAGGTTCGATCAGTCCTTGTGCCACGACATCGTGAGGCTGTCGTGGTGTCCAGTGTTCAGCACGTATTAGAACAATGGCCTCTTGAAGCCTCGACGCAGTGCGTGTGCTTGCCACCTGTGCCACAGTCTCAGCAGTGCCACATCGCAAGGTCACGCAAGTCTACCGCAAGAAGTGGCGCATCCACGTCGAGCGCGTCACGCGCGACAAGGCCAACGGCCAGACAGTGCCAATCGGCATCCACCCATCCAAGGCCAGAGAGGGTGGCTGCTGCCTGTCGTCCCCGAGATGCGTGAGTGTGGATGCGGTCAGTTGATCATGACATGGGAGGAGGCGACAGCATTTCACGGGGGATTGATCAAGGACGCCTACTCGCCTACTGCGAATCACCGCCGCCCCCTGCCTTCTAGGATACGCCTACGTGGCCAAACGTTTGGGCAAAGTTTGGCCACGCTGTTGGTCCATGCGTTCCCCCAGCCGTTGTGGAAGCCCTTCGGGGAACACGTGGGGGAGGAAGAGGAGGATGAGGAGATGGAGGACATGGAGGATGAGGAGAAGGATGAGGAGACCTCTTGGGAGCTTCTTGGGTCCTTATTGGGGCTTCCTTGGAGCTTCCTGGGGGCCTCTCGGAGGCCTCTTGGGGGCCACCTTGGGCCTTTTGGGGTCCGTTCGGGGCTTCTTGGTGTCTCTTTGGCCGTCTTGCGGCGTTCCTGGCCCGTCTGACGCCGTCCGACGCCGTTATGGGAGCATCTCTGGGCCGTCTTGGGACCCTTTTGAGGCGCTTCAGGGTTGTCTTGAAGGCTGGACAGTCTTGGGGCCCTTTGGGGGCCGGCTTGGGGGCTTTTTGGGCAGTTCCGGGGCCATATTGGAGGCTTCTTAGGCGATCGGGGGGCAATGTTGGGTGCCTCTTGGACCGTTTTGGGTTGTCGGAAGGCAGTTTTGAAGCAAATGCATCCTCCACAAACCGCTGGGTAATGAATGAGTTCGGCCTCTTCGGGCATTCTTGGAGGAGGCCTCTTGGGTCGTCTCAGGGGCCTCTGGGGCGCTTCTCGGACCGTCTTGGGCTCGCTTGGACCGTCTTGGCGGTCTTGGAAGCATCTTGGGACCGTCTTTGAGGGCATCGTTGGGGCTATATTGGCTTCTCTTGGGGCTATATTGGCTTCTCTTGGGGCCATCTTGGCCGTCTTGGAGGCATCTTGGAGGCTATCGTACGCCATGTTGGCCGTCTTGGGTGCGATTTGCCCACTGAGATGTGGATGTGGGGGAGCGCTTCGGGTGGCTGCGGGTTGGGCCGAAACCTCAGGGGGAGTTTTCAAAATAACCAACAGTAACCAACAACTCAGCACGCCGTGCACCCCTGTGATACATTACCAGGGGGCGGCGGATCTAGTGGCCTTCGGCCCATGCCGCCTGCGTGCCTAGGCTGTGGTTCCGAGGCCTCTTGGAAGCAGATGAGGGTCTGTTGGGATGCCGCTCGGGGGACTCTTGAAGGGCTTTTGGCAGTGCCATGGGGGGAGGCGGTAGCATGCCACAGGAAATGTATCATGCTGGATGAATGTGAGGTGTGAAGGGAGTGAGCGCGCGGGCCGCGTTTGGCTTTCCATTCGCTTGTATATTCCTCCCCGAGCTGGGGATGGGGGATGTCTCGAGCGTGCAGAGGTGGGGGGGGGCACACCGCCTCCCCGTCAGCCAGCCCAGCTCGAGCCATCCTGGCCGCGAGCCGCAGCGGCGGTCATCGTCCAAATATGTTCGCTTGCCACGGCAGTTCGTTCTCTTCTGGACGGGGTGCGGGGACGATCCCGTCCTGCAGCCGCGTGGTGCCCAATGGCCTTGGAGTTTTCGATGCGTTTGGCGACTTCCCAAAACGACTCCGCTCTCTCGCATGCTGATTTGCTTGCCCGGCCGATCGCCTGCTTCTGCTTGTCTCTCTGTCTGCTTCTCGCTCGCCTGCCTGTCGGCCTGCACTCGCAGGGCGTGCACGCTCGCTTGCTTGCACTCGCACGGCTTGCTTCCTTGCTCGACATCCTTGCGGGCTTCCACCGCCTGTTTGCGATATGCTTGCGTTTGATGGGTTGCTTGTCGGATGGGCGCAACGATGCAGTGGTCTGCTCCCAGGGCTTCTCTTATGCACGTATACGTGATGTTGTTGTTTGACGTATTTCTGTCCTGCGCCTGCGATGTGAAGGGAAAACATGTGGCGCTGCTGCTGCCAGCGTGCGCTGTTCGGCTCGGGAGTTGGCACATTCTCGCTATGCAAGCTGTCTCAAGCCCCAGTCTTTGGCACGCGCATGCCCAACCAGCGTTGCTTTCATGTGCGTCCCCGCGGCGACGGGGACCTTTTCAGTATTCAGGCGTAGCTAGCGCCAAAATCCGCGGCCCGATTGGTGTATGACAGGTCGGGGCGGTGGACATGTGAGGACGTATCAGGCGAAACGACCGACCACAGTTTGTTTCTGGAATACATGTTGTTTGTTCATTGTGATCGTGCGATCACCGTGACCGTGAGCATGCCCGTTCTCGTAGACACCGTTACGCTGGTAGACACGAACGTGATCATGGACACCACCATCCTTGTGAGCACCTGCGCTCGCGTGGGCCACGCACGACCTGAGTTCACAACGGTCATTTGTAAGCGCCACGAGGAGGGTCCATGAGCACCAGTGCGTATGGGCATTGAAGTTCCTGTGTGTAATGACCATGTGCAAAGCAATTCCTAAGCACCAGGATGCTTGTGAGAACCAGGGTGCCCATGAGTACCACATATCTTCCAAACACCGCATTGATTATGTGAGTTTCGGACTTTGGGCCGCTATGAGCCGCATGTCTCCGGGGTGTGGTTTAGCCTGGGAAGGAAGACCGTTTTATCCGTTTGGTCGGCAGCCCGTAAGAAGTACACATTCATAATTCACCCGTTTGGCTGTTCTCAGCCATTCCTGTATGTCACGATCACCCCTATTACTCCCACCCCGTTTCTTGTTGCCCTCTCGCGTAGTGCCCGTTCCCCAAACCATATTAAAGCAGCGTTCGGGTGGTGTCCAGATGCTTCGGCCTTCGACCGTGTTCCCTTTTTCTGTCGAGCTTATGATCGGCTAGGTCACTATCACGAAGATCAAGCTGGACAAGGCGACCCCTGCTCCATTACTCACGCCTCTCTCCGCGGAAAGCATCTAGACACCACCACTGTGCCTGGTCGGGGTTCCCCTGGTCTCCAGCATCATAGAGAGAGAGAGAGAGAGAAAAAAGAAAATAGCCCCTGGTCTCGGCAAGGAGGTCTTGCACGGCTCTGGCCTGGCTCGGTGATGGTGTGTGTGTGTGTTGTGTGTGTGTGCCTTCTGCGTTTCTCGGCCTCCTCTCTCCTCCCCCCTCCTCTCGGCGCGGTCTCGAGGGAGGTCCAGGCGCCGTGAGGCACGCAAGCCAGCTGTTATGCACCAGAAGCTGCTCTGAGCTCCGTGGCTCGGCGGCGGCTTCGTCGACCCCGCTCGACCTCCAGGTCACTCGGCAAGACGCTCTCCCCACTCCACCAGTACACCCCCGCGGGAATCCCATGGGCGACCCCGCACGGCCCGCTGTCGCGGGTGCTTGTCGGCTCTCTCCGGCAGATCCGTTGAAGGTACTGGAGTTGTTTCGGGGGGGGGGGGGGGGGCGAAGAGGAGGGAGAAGCAGAGGGAAGGAGGAGGAGGAGGAGGAGGAGCATGAGGTTCCCGGTCGTCGCACCCAGAGTGGCGTCGGCGCTCCGCAACCAGTTCCGCTTTTCCCTGGCCCGAGTGACTGCGCTCCGCTCCCTCGAGACCGCATGCTCACATCGCGTGGCCGGTCGGAGGAGGGAGGTTGAGGAGGTTGAGGAGGGGAGGGTGGCAGAGGAGGGGACCCGTGCCGCCCCCTGAGGTTCCCCCTCCAACACAGACGTTCGCGCACATGAGGTTACACGGGCTTCTAGGGAGCGCCTTGCGCGAGCATTGGCAACCGAGAGGCGGCCTCGCGAATTGGGGAGCATCTTCGCGTGGCGGGGCTCCCTGACTGGGTAGTGGAGGCCTGCCCCACGGGGCGAATTCGAAGCAGCCGAGATCACCGCCTCGGCATCGGTGCGTCGGGTCCTGCTCGCGACGTGCACCACCACCCACCAAGCCACCCCAACCCAACCCGAAGGCTTCAAGTTGCCCTCCACTTCCAGCGGGGAGGGGTCGGGGAACATTGAGAAACCACATACGGAACCCGTACCCCCCCCAACCCGAAATCCAGGTATTCGGGTTGGGTTGGGGTGGCCTGGTAGGTAGTCAGTGCAGGTGCGCCTCTTGTTGGGGGGGCCGCGCAGCATGCCGAGCAGCTCGTCACGGGCCCAGTTTCGCGCTCCTGCGCGGCTTCGCAGGTGTACGCCGTCGGCCGCTCGCGCCAGGGCATGAGGAATATCTGCGAGGAGGGCGAGAGGGCGCATCGACCCCCAATCGCCCATCGATCGACGATAGGGGCCCAACATCCCACCCCGCCCAGAAACGTGCGGACACGCTTTCGGGGGCATCTCGCGGATCTATCGGCAGTGTATCGCCGATGTCAGGTCGATGCCTCCCCGTGTCGTTGCCCCTCAAGGTGGTGGACGGGCCTGCGGCCTGGCACGAGGTTTGCGGGAGTAGACCTGCACCAGGGGGGCATTTGAGAGAGAGAGAGGGAGAGAGAGAGAGAGAGAGAGAGAGAGAGAGACGCGCCCGGCACTGAGTGCCGCACAGGTGGGCTGTGAGCGGAGGCGCCGCGCCAGGCCCCCGCCGTGGTGGCCACAGCATCCGGCGCCTGAGCGCTCTGGGCGCTGCGTGCGGACCGAGGCCGCACCTGCCCCCCCCGCCTCGAGGCTCGTCCACGGATGGGCAGGATACTCACAGCTCGCAGCTCTCCCTCCCTCTCCTCCTCCCCTTAAGTCGGGCCTGTCCCTCCACAGGGGGAATATTCAAAAATAGTAAAGAGGACTTTTGTTTGAGTATTTTTGGGCATCTTTGGAGTATTTCTGTGTATTTTTTGTTTTTCGTCCAAAATCCCCCTGTAGGGGGACAGGCCCGACCTAATCCTCCCCCTCGCCTGACCGACCTCCAACCATCAGCATTCGACTCGCAGCGTCCACCACCAGCTGTCGACCTCCAATGTGACAGCTCCAGCTCTCGGCCTCCACCTGTGGACCACAGCCCTCGCACGACCGACCTCCGATTTCAAGATTCCAGCCCCAGCATCCACTTTGCTCTCGACCTCCGACCTTCACTTCCTTGCTTTTGACTTCACCAGTCGACCTCCATCCCGCCATGTCCGGAGGGCTCTGGCCCCCCTCCGCAGCCCTTTCGGAGCCCGCCCGTCCGGACCGCCAGTGCGCGCTCGCCTCGCTTCCTCTCCTTCCGCTGGGGCAGGGAGGCTGCCTGACCCTCCGCAGCCGCGACGTGGCGTCGTCTCCGAGTGCGCCCCTCCCAGGACCGCAAGGCTCTGCTGGACCGCAAGAGCGGCAAGGGCAAGAAAGGGGAGAAGTATACGGACAAGGACGCGGGCGAGAGAGGGTGAGTGGGGAGGATGCCTACCAGGGGCCGTCGTCGTCGTCGTCGTCGTCGTCGTCGTCGTCGTCGTCGTCGTCGTCGTCGTCGTCGTCCCGCCTCCTGCCTCACAGAGCGAGTGACCTATGATGAGGGGGCGGGAGGGGCAGAAGATGAGATTCGAAGGACGAGGAGGGGGAGCGGGGGTGGGAGAGGGATGAGTGAGTGAGGAGGAGGAGGAGGAGGAGGACGATGAGGAGGAGGAGGAGGAGGAGAGGAGGAGGAGGAGGAGGAAGAAGGAGGAGGAGGAGGGGAGGGATAGTTGAGACACTGGTGGCTCCTCCCCTCCCTCGTGGGTCGGGAGGGCTACCAGTGTCTCAGCCTCAGCTGGACCTCAGAACGTGTGGGGCTGAGATTGAGGGTGGGGGAGGGGAGGGGGAGGAAGATAGTTTGATGTCATAACGTTGAGCAGTGGAAGGGGGATGAAAGGAGGAAGCGGACGGCGGACGCGGTGGGTAGGAGGAGGATGAGGAGGATGACAGGGGCACAAGGTGAGGTGAGGAAGGGCGAAGTGACGGACCGGGGATGACGGCGGGAGGTACGGGGGGTGAAAGAAAAAAGCCTTGCCCCCCCTGTAGGGCCCTTTTTGCTTTCTCCAGAAGGGGCCCTGACAGGCCCAATTGGGGGCCCCTTTCTTCACCCCGCCATTGCGTCACCCCCCACTTAATTCAGAAGGAAAAGCGCAGACACAAACAAACGTCGATCCCCAGGAATTGCGAAAATCATGGGAAGTGGAGAGGAGACGAACATTCAGACTATGGGGACCCTGGGATTTGGATACATTGATTTATTCGTATGTCCCTGGGCGCCTCCCTCAACACCCGCCCGAGAGAAAGGGGAGGGCGTTTGGCAGAGGGGCGAGGGCGCTGGGAGTAGAGGATGAGTCGGGCGAAGGAAAGGCGTAGAAGGGCGTTTGGGCTTCGCGGCATGAGGTGTATGCGTGTGTGCTTGTGTGCTCGTGTACGTTCGCTGTTTGATTGCTCGCAATGCTGTGTGCTCACGTGTGCCCCTCATACTTGTATGAGGCAATTGCTGTCCAGTGCATGTCACGGACGTTCCTCGGCATGGTACGCGACTTGAATAGCTTCACAGAGCCCGCGGCTGTCCTGGGAGCGTGTCCTGCGCTGCCGCTGCTCGGATCGGATCGATCGCCCGTCCGCTGTCTCTCCCCCCCCCTGTGCTGCGGTCGGGAGCTTCTTGATAGCGTGATGCTCCGCCAGTTCTGGCCCATCACGTGTCGGTGCGACACGCTATCCACTTCCCAGTCCCCAGGCTTCAACGTCCCGAGCCTTTCTGAGCCTGCCGCCAAGCGGAGCGGAGCGACACGCTATCCGCGTGCAGGGCATAGCGTGTCACCGGGGCTGCCGCGGCGACACGCTAAGCAACAATTCCCCACCGTACTCCGCCCCCCCCCCCCTTACCCCTCCCCCCCTTACGCACTCCGTCTCCCCTCCACGGCAGCTGCGACGACCTGGCGCCATGCACGAGGGTGGGTGTGAGTGTGAGGAGGCGTGGCTAATTTCAAGGAAGAGGATGACCAGGAGGAGGAGGAGGAAGAGGAGGAGGAGGAGGAGGAGGAGCATCTGCGCTGTTCGTGTCACAATGCTGGCGTGTAAGCGTATGGTTCCGTTCTCGATGCCGATCTTGCTGGACCCTGGCATGTTGTGGCCTCAGTTGTGCTTCCTCCCGTCCCTGACCCAATTCCCGCCCCTGACTGGCTGCGGTGCTTGTTTCAGGGACGACTCCTGAGGTGCGGGGGCGATAGGAGGATGGGAGCCTACTTGCAAAATGAATGCGCCTCTGCTGGGCACGACAAAAGTGAATCGACTCGTCCTTGCTTGGCGCCTTCTCAGCGAACAATCTACTGCAGCACTGTCTTCGCATATACGACATACCGCCTTGTCATCCAAGATCCGCCCATCAATTGCGCCTGACTGGAGCGAGCCGAAGAGGGATAGGAAGCAGGAGCTACTGCCGAGAGCGCTATGCCAATACGCGCGGCCAGATGTTTAAACCGCATGCTACACCACGTCAATGCGTGGTCACCGCGAAACTGTAGTCCTGATGCTCCAGGGAAGCGCGTACATATTTCTGCTACAGAGGAAAGACACTCAGATCGAGCTGCCACTTGTTCTACCACGTTGGTCACCGAGCAACGGTGTGCTCGACGGTGTTCTTGATCCTCCACGCGTGGTCGCCATATTCCCTGAACCGTCGCTGGCGCTCGGCCCACTCGGCACGCTCGGTTGAAATTCTCTGCTCCCTCTGCTGCACGGTGTCCTTCCTAGCTGCGAGATCCGTGGGGGTCGTGCCTGGCGCGCGCTGGAGCTCGCGCGTGTGCGCCTCGAGCTGCGCGAGCTTCGCCTCCGGCTCCCTCCCCTCGGGGGCGGCAAACGAGGGGGTGATGACTAGGGGTGTGTGGATATCATGGCGGGGGCCATGACATCGACGCAGATGTCTTGGCGTCTCTGTCCTTCTTTCGATCAGTCCCCTGCCCCGCCCCCTGGGCCGCGCACATGCCTCGGGTCATGACTTGCGCACCCCGCTCTCGGACGCCCCCCTCTTGGACGCCCCCGATCCCCACAGGCATGGTGCTCAGCCTCCCCTCGGGGACCTGCTCCTGGTGCGATACGCGCGACCGACCTCCAAGTTGTCCGCCGAGTACGCGGATCCTGCCGATATTTAGTGGCCCCTTGGGATGCTGCGAATTGCGCGGCCGTCCCTACTTTCGTGGACTCCTGGGAGCCACGGCGGAGTAGCGGAGTATGTACGCGGGTCCAGCCGAGATTTCGCAGCTCCTTGGGTGGTCGCGAACTGCGCCGGTGTCACCACTTTCGTGGGCTCTTGGGAGACACGGCGGAGTAGCGGAGTACGCGGATCCAATCAAGACCTCGCAGCTCATGGAGCGGTTGCGAATTGCGTACCGTCGCCACTTTCGTCGTGGGTTTCTAAGAAGCGCGGCGGAGAAGGAGAGCACGGGCACCAATACGTGATTTCGCAGCTCCTTGTGATGCTGCGGAATGCGCAGCCGTCACCACTTTCGTGGACTCCTGGGAGGTCCAGCGGAGTCGGGGGCCACAATAACCCATCTTGGTGTTTGCGAACTGCGCAATTGTCGTCACTTTCGTGGGCTAATGGGAGACACGGCGGGGACGGGGACACGCGCACCCAGACGAGACTTCGCTGTTCCCTTGGTGGTTGCGAACTGCGCAGCCGTCGCCACTTTCGTGGGTCCCTGGAAGGTCCAGCGGAGCCGGAGGCCACACGCATCCATTTGAGACCTCGCGGCACCCTGAGAGGCTGCGAACTGCGCAGCTGTCGCCACTTTCGCGGACTCCTGAGTGGTCCAGCGGAGTCGGGGGCCACGCTGACCCATTTGGGACCTTGCTGCCCCCCCCCCAGAATGCCACGAACTGCACAAGTGTCACCACTTTCATGACCCGTTGGGCGGTTCAGCGGGGTCGGGGGCCACGCGCATCCATTGCAGACCTCGCTGCCCCCCTGGGACGCTGCAAACTGCGCAACCATCGCTTCTTGCGTGGGACCCTGGGAGGCCCAGCGGAGTCTGGGGCCACGCGGGTCTACTTGTGACCTACCAGCGCCCTGGGTGTCTGAGAAATGAGGACCTGTCGCCACGTTCGTGGGCTCCTGGGAGGCACGCACGGCGGAGATGGGGGCAGCCCTGATCGTGCACATCTGGCGATTTGTTCTTTCGTATGGTCGTATGGAGAATCCATGCAATCATTCGCATCACGTGGAGGCGGGGTTGGGCACGTCTCGGGTATTTGTTTGGCTTCCAAAGGTTGGGGGGAGGAGATGATGAGGAGTAGGAGGAGGTGGGTGGCGGGGGGAAAATGATGGAGGGGAGAGGAGGGATATGAGGGGGAGGAGGGGGGGAGGAGGTTTAGGACAAGCTAGGTGCACTCGCGCCATGTCTGACATCCTCAAACTCCCTCGCATCCCTTCCCATTGCGCTGAATTTATCCATCCGTGGACGCGTGTCATAGCCGACCTCGAACTCCCAAACATACTCCACCGTTTTATGCGCAATAGTCGGAAAGGGGGAATTGCGTAGATAGTAGGAGGAGGAGAGGGCGGAGGAGGAGGAGGAGGAGGAGGAGGAGGAGGACGTGGCGGGTGAGCAGTAAGATAAGTAGGAGGAACAGAGGTGGCAGCAGTGGGTGGAGCAGGAGCTGCAATAATTGGAGTGGAAGCAGTGGGGGGAGCAGGAGGACCAGAAGGAGGCGCAGGAGGGGAAACGAGGCGGGTGACAACGATGAAAGGACTCGGATCCAGAAAAGTGGCCCGCGCTGGGGCGAGAGCGCCATTCTGAGCGACGGCAGCACAGCGCCCATCCGAAAATGAGGCCCTCGCTGTAGCGAGAACACCATTGTGACAAACCGAAAACAATCGGATTGTAAAAGCACGTCGGGAACAAAAAAACGTTCGACCTTTTGTGTATATGTAAGGAACAGTACGCGGAGAGGGCCCGAGATCTTCCGCACAGAAACAGGGGAGAGAGGAGAGAGGTATTCATAATGTGCCACTGTGGAGGAGTAGAAGGAGGAGGAGAAGGGGGAGGAGGAGGGGGAGGAGGAGGAGGGGGAGGAGGAGGGAGGAGCCGGAGGAGGAGGAGGGGTAGAAGGAGGAGGAGGAGGAGGACGAGGAGGAGGAGGAGGAGGAGGAGAAGGAGAAGGGGGGGTGCTGGATGCTGGATCAGCCTGTTTCCAAAGAGGCACGTCCGAGGATTGGGGTGGGTGGGGAGGGGGAAGGTGAGGAGGGGGCAGGAGGAGGAGGGGGCAGGAGGAGGAGGAGGAGGAGGAGGAGGAGGAGGAGGAGGAGGAGGAGGAGGAGGAGGAGGAGGGAGGCGGAGAGGGAGAAGGAGCATAGCTCGTCGCCGGCTCTCCCAGCGATCTCTGCCAAGGGTCCTCAAGGCTGAGATGCTTTCCCAGCAGGTGCGTGCGGACCGAGCCTCCCCGTCGTGGACTCGGCGCCCTCAGACGGGGGGGCCGAGGCGTCGGGAAGGGGAGGGCGAGGAGCGGGAGAAGGGGAGGCCCGTCCGCCCCCCGACCCTGAGATCCGACGTCGCGAGGAAAAGCACGGAAGGCATCGCGGAAACTCACGGCCCGAGCCCTACACACGAGGCCCCATCCGTCTGCGGCATCGTCCGACCCCTCAGCCGCCCTGCTGCGCCCGTTCTGAAGCGCAGCACGTGCCGTGTTCGAGTCGCCGAGTCGCCCGTGCTGACACGCTGCACGTTGGCTCCACGCGTTGGCCCACGTTTGGGCGAACGCATCGCGCCGAACGCCGGGCGAAGAGCACTGTGCACATGCACCGATCCTTGCAACGCCCATCCTTGACCCAGGATCGGTGCACACACCTTCCTGGCCAAGGTAAGAGGGCGTATGCACCGATCCTGGCCAGAATCGGTGACTTAGTTCTCTTTCCTCCAGAACTTGTGTGTGTTTCAATCTGCGCCTTGGGCTCCGTGTCGACGCGCCACGGGTTGCGTGCTGCGCATCGGGCCCGCGAGGTTCGACCGCCGGATCGACCTGTGAGGGCCCCGGGGCCCGAAACCCGGGCGGGAGCACCCGGCTCGGACGGAGGGAGGCCTCGGGGTCTCGGGGGGGGAGGCCCGTCCGCCCTCCAGCGGCTCCGACCCGCGAGGACATGTAGACCGGCGAGGGGCCGCCCCCCGGGGGCAGCCTTCGAGGATCGGTGGCTCGGGGGTGGGGTCCTTAGGTCCTTAGGGGTGGGGCCCGCAGGGCAGGAATCGGCAGGAACGGAATGGGTACGGAAAGAGCGGGCGCGATGCCCAACAGCTTTTTTGTTGATTCTGAACAAGACTCGCTGTCCGCGCCGCCGCGGACTGTGTCGATTTGAGATAGAAGGCCGCCTGCCCAACATCGGCCGCTGTCGGTTTTGGAGAACATTTGTTGTTGGACATCGTACCTATTTTCTCCGTATCCGTGTGGGCGCTAAAGGAAAGAGCCTGAGAGTGGGTTTAGGAAGGGATCCAAGGTTTGATTCACATCGTTTGAGGCACCTCGTCCTTAAGGCCCCCATCCCTCAGGACTCCACCTTTGAATCACCGAGAGGAGGCGCGGGGGGCGCGGAGGCGGGGGGCGCGGCTACCCCCGCGCCGCCGCCGCCGCCGGCGACTCGCGCGGAGGGCTCGGGAAAAGGCGCCTGCGCGCAGGGCGGCCACGGCGGCGGCATCGCCGCGAGCTTGAGGATCGCAGGCGATTTTTCTCCCCCGACCCCCCCGTTCCGCCCGAAAAGTTCGGCCACCCAGGCAAAAGGGGGAACGCTGAGATACACCCCAATGGGGGCTATTCGGGCGCACCCCATATCGAAGATGGGCGCCCCCCATCTTGTATCCCAGGGCTGGGCCCCAAACGTTTTCCGCCCATTCGAAAACCCCACGAAGCTTGGGACAGGGGTCGACATATCCCTGCTAGAGTGGAGTCGTGCTGCTGTTGTTCTTCGGGTGGGGGGACAAAATATTGGCACGAAAGTGAACTTTCGGAGGTCCGCGCAGATTTCTCAGATCGGCGCAGGAGCCCCCCGGCGGCGCCTCCGGCGCCGCCCCCGGCGCGCTCCGCGGGAGGGGGGTCTAGCGCCGATCCAAGAAGTCCGCGTGGACCTCCGAAAGTTAGATATCTGTGTCATCATGTGTGCCTCCTTTCGGGGGGGAGGAGGAGGACCCTGAGACCCTGGCGTCGCAATTCTTCGAGCGCGGCGTTTTCGCCAGGCTTCGGGTTCCCGTGGCCCTCGCAGATCGATCCAGCTCGAGCAAGTGCGGCAGGAAGTCCGGGTCAAGCGCTTTGGGCGTGAGTTGTTGCGATGCTGCACTTTTCCGCAGCGTCGGATCTCAGGGGAGGTGCCAGAAGGGGAGCAGGGGCACGCAGGCGTCCTCCCTCCCTGCCTCCTTCTCCCGCGTCTTCCTCCCGTCCGCCGCCCCTTCACCTCCAACCCCATCCTCGTCGTCGTCTTCCTCCTCCCCTCTCTTGCCTCTCCCGGCCCTCGTCCTCCTCGTCCTGTCCCACTATCCCCTCGCCCTCCTCGCCCCTCAGCCTTCCAGCTCCTCCCGCGCCGCGCCTCGAGCGGCAGCTGGGTTCCCCCCCCCCCCCGCGCTCACAGTCGATAGCATAGTTACACAGGAACCTAAATCCCTGCGTGCAGTATTGCCTCTTTGACGCAAGCCGAAGCTTTCCAGGAGGAAGACGTGCAGCTGTGCCGATCAGCAGGCGACCTCACCTCGTCGCCTTGGCCCAGCGTCGCTTCAGCACCGTCTCGGAGGCTGGCCCAGCGCCTCACTTGCGGCGTGTGCACGAGTCTGTGCTGGCAGTGCTGGCCCAGCGCGTGCACGACATGTTTCTCGAAGTGTGGCCCAGTTTTCTCATGGGAAGCGCTCTTCAGTTGTAGCCTTGGCTGTCTGCTTGCACCAGCGCTGGGCCCAGGACTGGCGTGGGCGGGATCGGCGTGCGTGGATAGCTGGCGTGTCCCCTGGTCGTTCTGTCATCATGTCCGCGCAGGATAACGAAGATCAGTGCTATTCCTCCAGCCGCTCCTCCTCCTCCTCCTCCTCCTCCTCCTACGTGCTCCTCTGCTCTTTCTCAGGGCAGTGCCCACAATACACAGTGATTTGGACGATCCGGGTACCTCCTTCTCTGGCCGCTCCTGCCAAACGACCTACAATTCTGCCCCACCTTCGCGCGGCGTGCCGTAGAATTGTTCAAACAAAGATGACCCGACCAGTTTCTAACGGTTTGATGATAGTTTTGTTGGCCTGGAGTGAGGCGGCCAGTTTATGTTCGTGTACAAATCGCGGTGCGTCGACGGTATCGGCGACGACGTGATATTGCCGTCGAGTCGCGGCGACGGTTCGTCGACAGTGATTTCTGTTGTTGGCATTGCCCATTTGCGACTTGATGGGTCGGCTTCGGTCCAGGCTCTAATTTTGATTTCGCAACCGCCCTTCCCGGAGCGGTCGCGCCGGATCCAACGGACAGCGTTGCGCCAACCGTGGATGAGGGTCCGAGCCAAATTCCATGTGACTCCGGGAAGCGAAACTACATCGCATGTTGTGAGCGAGTCTGGAATTGTCTCTAAATTCGGCGGCGCGCCGAGGGGGGGAGGAGGAGAATGAGAAGGGGGAGAAGGAGGAGGAGGAGTAAGGGAAGGAGGATAAGGACGAGAAAGGAGACAGGAGGGAGAGGGCGAGGAGGTGGAGGAAGACGAGGAGGAGGAGGAGGAGGAAGAGAAGCAGGAGGAGGAGGAGGACGAGAAGGAGGAGGAGGAGGAGGGAATGGGAACGAGTGAGAGAGAGAGAGGGAGAGAAGGATGTTGTGAACGAGTCTGGAAATTGTTTGTAAATTCGGCGGCGCTTCGAGGGAGGAAGCTCGAGGAGGCAGGCTTTCTCAGAAAGCGGCAAGGCTTCTCAAAAGCTCTCGCCCCGTCTGAGACGCCGTCTGTGGCTTCGGAGAGGGCTTACAAGGCTTCTCAGACGATCTGAGGGCTTCTGAGCAGGCTTGCTCTCTCCCCCCCCCCTCGGCGCGCCGCCGAGTTTAGAGACAATTCCAGACTCGTTAACAACATCCGATGTAGTTTCGCTTCCCTGAGTCATATGGTATGTGGCTCAGGGAGGGTTCAGCGAGTGGGCCTAGAAGAAAAGCAAAGGGAGGCATAGCTAAGGAATCCCTGCGTGGGTGGCTCCAGGGAAGTCATAGGCAGCTTCTCAGGAGGCCGTAGGTCAGGCCCTCTGAGCCTTCTGAGTATGCCCGCCCCTGCTGCCTTGCCCCATCATCATTACCATCATCATCCTCATCATCAGCATCAGCATCATCATTATCATCATCAGCATCATCATCGTCATCATCATCATCATTATTATCATCGTCCGCATCAACAGCAGCAGCAGCAGCAGCAGCATCATCATCATCATCATCATCATCATCATCATCATGAGCATTACCATCATAATCACCATTACCATCATAATCACCATCACCATGACCATCACCATCATCATCATCATCATCATCATCCCTCATCATCATCATCATCATCATAACCATCATCATAACCATCATCATCATCACCATCATCACCACCACCACCATCAACATCACCCCCATCACCATCATCATCGTCACTACCGTCACCATCACCGTCACCATCAGCATCAGCAGCATCAGCATCATCATCGTCGTCATCATCATCACCCATCATCTTCATCAGCATAGCCATCATCATCTTCACCATCATCTTCATCACCACCACCATCATCATCATCATCACCACCATCACCGTCATCATCACCACCATCAACGTCACCACCAGCATCAGCAGCATCAGCATCATCATCGTCATCATCGCCGTCTGCATTATCAACACCGTCATCATTCTTATCATCATCGGTATCATTCTCCTCGTTTCCACATCAGTATCATACTTGACATCATCATCACCATCATCACCGTCATCCTCAGCATCACCATCAGCATCATCATCACCATCATCATTAGCATCAGCATCTGCATCACAATCAGCATCAGCATAATCACCATCACCATCACCATTATCATCGCATCATCAGCAACAGCATCAGCAGGATCATGATCATTACCATCATCATTACCGTCAACACCAACATCATCATCAGCCTCAGCATCAACGTTAACATCAGCATCAACCTCAGCATCAACACCATTACCATCAGCATTATCGTCATCCTCATCATCAACAGCATCATCACCCTGTTCCGCTCTTCCCTGGTAATGCCGACGCGAGGGTTTCTTATTCTAACAACCGGTTTTAATGAATGCGCGAACGCGCAGTGACCAGAGGTCTGCGCGAGCAGCGGTCTCACCAGGCTCGGGTTCCTGCGCGAGACGCAGCCGTGCCAGAGTGCGCGTAGCTTCGGATTGGAGGCATCGTCGAATCAAGTACTCGAGGATGGTGCTGCGGCGAGATTTGGTCCGCCGCGACCCCAGCGCGTTGCTCCGCGCTGCGGGTCTGCCGTTTTGTCGCAGTGGATCGATATCTTGCAGGTTGCTTTATTTGTCGGTGGTCGTGGCCTCCAGACGTGGGCTGTTGAAACTTACCCGCGGCAGTCGCGGCTCGTTCTGCTGGTCTGTCGTCTGTCGTTGGCGCTGGTGCATCCTTGGTTCACTGGCCTGGCGGCGGGCGGTTGCTTGATGACCGATAGTATCTTGCACCGGTGCGTGGTCTGCGATGGTTTTGCCCGCGCCAGTTTGATTGCCGCTGGCGTTTTCACGCTCGAGCCCGACGGCGGTGCTTGGGTCGCCAGGGCGGCCGGCGGTGGTCCTTGCGGCGGGGCTGGCAGGGCTGGCCTCTGGATGTCCATGTTTGTCGGGTCGTGGCGTGGTTCGTGCTTCGGGGCGGCGGCGGTCGGCGCGCGGGGTGCGAGTTGGTGCGGGGCGGTCGCGGTCGGCTGCCTGCCACGGCGTTGTCCGCTGCTGCGCAGATCGCGGCGAGGAGGGCTGTCGTCCGCTGTGATCGCCACCTCGATCGTTTCGACGGCGGTCGCGTGCTCTCCTGAGTCACCTGCCGGTGCCTGTCGATGCCGATGCCGGGAAGGGAACATCGGGCGAGCCCCCTTGTCATGGCCTTGTCTGGGCATATTGTCACGCAATTGCGTCCCCCAAGCG